TCTCTCTCTCTCTCTCTCTCTCTCTCTCTCTCTCTCTCTCTCTCTCTGCTTGCACAGAAGCAGCCAGAGTCACTCTTGTCTCTCAAGAGCCCAGCCGAAGTTTCCAACGCTGCTTCTGCGAGCGCTCCTCGAGAGAGACAATTTTGCAGATAGCTTAGCTGATCTCCTGCCCCTGGGAGTCAAAGCGCTGAAGCAAAGATTTCCAACCCCACCACAGGCCAGTCCCATATTCCAGAGCTGCAGTAGTCACAAGACTCTCCCTTTGGTCATCCTGGAGCAGTTCATCCATGGCAGGCCGGTGCACAGGCCAGTCCTGTGACTACTGCAGCTCTGGAATATGGGACCGACTTTCCCACCAACATCAGCAAGCAACCCTGGGGCGGATTTCCCTCCCCCACTGTTGGTCTTACCTTCCGGTTCCAGCTCGTGTAGCTCTACTCAAGGTAAGGTTTGTGCTTGGCTGAAGGGTGGGGGCCAGTGGGTGGGTGGGCCATGTGGGCGGTGCAGACATGTTCCTGCACAACCTGGATTAATTTCTTTGGGGGGGTGTTTTGGGGGGACATTCCTTTGCGGCCCACCAAAATTTTCTTGTGGCCCACTGATTGGCAACCACTGCTTTGGAACATCAACGCCATTTCTCTTGAAATCTCACTCCTTTCACCCTAGTGGAGCATCTTGTCTTAATTTAATAAGTCCTGCTCTTACTTAAGTCCAAAAACAATATATTCCAGTCCAATGTTAGTCCTCAGAAAGTTCAATAATCATAGTTCTTTACATTTGAGGATTATTAATCAATTCCATTTAAATAGTTCAGGAAGCTTCCACAAATCAAAAATCATTTTGCTTTACTTAAAAGTCTTCCATAATAAAATCTTCAGTGATCATAAAGTAACTAGTAATAAAACAGTCAATGTCACCACAGTCCTCCAGATTAAAAAACATTTTTTTCTAAACTTGTAGGGGTCTGGTGTATTCCATTCACCAGTAGATGGCGTCCTCAGCTTAGGTTTTAGCATTTTTTTCAAATCTTAACAATTTAATTAATCCAAATTTAGTTCAATTTATGGAAGCAAAATCAGCATTTCAAATAGATTCAAATGGATAGTCCAGCATTTTATAATGCCTTTCCAAAACAATGCCTATCTAATTTAAAAATCCAATTTTCTATGTTTTAAAAGGTCTTTAGTTTCTCTCTTCTTAGTTCCTCTTTTGGGTCTAGGATTTTTCTCTCTATGGTAGTTTGCCACTTTGAAAAATTGTTCTAAGAGTCTCTTTTTCTGGATTTTCCTCTTTCTTTTTTTCTTTAAGATTAGGTCTAAATAGAAAATAATCTTCTCACCCAGCACCAATCACTGTTCATCTTCACCACTCGTGCACATTTCTTAGCTGCCTCGGCTGTCCCAGCTTCATGGCAGCCATGATGGCTGCCTCTTCTCCTTGTTGAGGGAGAAGGAAGAAGCCCTGAGTCCAGCAGAAGAGTTGCTGCTCTCCCTGAACTACAGGGCACCCCTCTTTTATTCACACCCTACAAGGTGGCTTTAGCTCCTTTCAGAGCCCTCCAACAGGAAAAACTTGGTGTCGGAGCACGGAGACCTGCTCCTCACATCTGATAGCACTGCAACATCAACCTGATGTTCATTCCAAATGATTCTTAATGTCAATAAAGAGTGAACATTTTCTGCATCTTGTTGCTGCCATGTTAATAGTTTGCTGGACTTTAGTGACCTGGACATGATGGTCCAAGTGTAAGAAGAGCTAAAGTAGCATAGCAGGGCAGCAAAAAGGAAGGAACGAGCAAAGGTAAAATTGCTAACCCCAACCCTAACCCTAATCCCTCACTGTTGTTCATACCATCTCCATCTCCAGTATCATTCCAGAGTCAATGGTCATTTCAGGACCTAGTGCATAGATTGGCAGCACAGAGATTATTTCCTTATTGATTACTGCTGGCTGATCTCCACCCCCCCCCCTTCCTCACATCCATGAAAGAAGGAGAGAGAATAGACATACCATATTTGGGTGAAAATATTTGGGTGGTTATTAAATGGGAATTGAAGGAATACAAAAAGCTCTGAGTGTTTATGTCCTTGGAAAGGATCCAAGAGATACTGACATATACCCCATTGTCTTGGGATCCAAGAGATACTGACATATAACCCATTGGAGCTGTTTAGACTGGCCTTCCAGTCAATAGGTTTTCCATTACTGAATGATCTTCAGCATTTGTGATGGTATGTGGGAGACAGGAGGAAGAGCTGCATCTAGGGCAATGGACAGATAAGTAATAATTTAACCCTCAGAAATATGATTGAGACAAATATCACAGAAGGGACCCTTCCTAGTTTCTTGAATTGTAATGCACTAATAAAGGAGAATATTATAGTTCAGGGTTGACATGAGGGATCCTTGGTGCTCTATGACTTGGTTGTTTTCGTGTATATTTCATTACTCAAACTAAGTAATCTCATCAGGGCCAATCCTGAGTGCATTGCTAGTCTCTGAGCTTGGTTGTTTTCTTGCAGACATTTCATTACCCAAATTATTAGTAATTAGTATTAGCACTGATAATGTAACCTAGTTTGGGTAATGAAATGTCTGCAAGAAAATCACCAAAATCAGTGAGCACCAAGGACCCCACATGTCAACCCTGAGCTACAAATATTCTCCTTTATTTGTAACACATATGGGTATTAAATGCTTCAGAAAGCAAGCAAATGGGAAATATTTGCCTCCAGAGACACTTCCACCAAGGAGCAACTTTTCTTCCTAAATGAATACATACGAAAGAACCTCTAAGAACACCCCCACCAACACTAACAGGGCAAATCATTAGAATATAAACCGAGAGAAAACCCCACTCCTTACTAGCACTGATGACGTTACCTAGTATGGGTAATGAAACGTCTGCAAGAAAACAACCAAGCTCAGCACTGAAAAATGTACTTTCAGAATTGCAAGAATCTGTTAATGTTACCTTAACAAAAAGTAGAACTAGTATTTCTGAATGTGCTTCTTGTCTGGAGTACCAACAAGACTGACAGTGCTTCAAATGAGCATAGAAGAGACAACTGCAGCATGCTAATATATCTCTTTTGTCCTTAGGCTATTGCTTAACCAACAGCAGCTAAAGTTTGAATGTTAGAAAGAGAGGAAATATTATGTATTTGGGATGGAACTGAATCTTAGAATTAAAATAGGTTTATTTACTAGTACTGTGTTGGGCAGAAGACAAAGAATGGGAGTTGGAAATGACCCTGGTCTTCATGTAACTCTTTTGCCTTCCTGCACTTTTATCCATTGCCTGTCTGTCAGTTCTTATTCTTAGAAACTGCCCATTGTTATGTAATAGTAGAAGTGAGAGACTTTGTTTCCTTATAGGTGTGTGTTTTAAGATGCTCTTTTAACTGAGGTTTTGTGCAACTGGGTTTCAATATATCAAGTAAGGTTGAATCATTAGCATATGATCCAGTGAAGCCTGCAAAGGAAAAAAATCTTGAAAGGACTTCAAACTTAGCAAAATTGAGACCATTTTTTTTTAAAAAAAAAATGCATCTGCAAAGGTTTCTTGCACTCAGCTTTAAATCAGCCTTATTCATTCATCTGACCACATTGCAAAGAGGTTGGATGCAGCTGTAGTTATCCTAACAGATAACCAAGTGACTTCAAACCGTGACAGATGCTTTTGTCAGTTTGAGGGGAAAAGAACTGTGATTAAGTCAGCTAATGTTCCTTTTCCTCAAAAATCAGGTGAACGAGAAAATGCTAGCTGGAAACCATTCCCTCTTTATTTATTTATTTATTTGATTTATTTATTTATTTATTTGATTTGCCAATTGTTTACAAGATAATAAGTATAAGTGTATACATAGTTGTGAATACATGAAATGGGTACATATAAGAAAAATAAAAGAAGAATAAGAGAAACAATAGGACAGGGACGGTAGGCACGTTGGTGCGCTTATGCACGCCCCCTACAGACCTCTTAGGAAAGGGGTGAGGTCAATAGTAGACAGTCTAAGGTTAAAGTTTTTGGGGTTTGGGGAAGAGACTACAGAGTCGGGTAGAGTATTCCAGACATTGACCACTCTATTGCTGAAGTCGTATTTCCTGCAATCAAGTTTGGTGCGGTTAACTTTGAGTTTGTATCTATTGTGTGCTCTTGTGTTGTTATGGTTGAAGCTGAAGTATTCATTGACAGGTAGGACATTGCAATGTATGATTTTATATACCATGCTTAAATCAGACCGAAGACGGCGTAATTCAAGGTTTTCTAGTTCTAGAATTTCAAGTCTGGTGGCATAAGGTATTCTACAACGAGTAGAGGAGTGGAGAACTCTTCTTGTGAAATATTTCTGGACTTTCTCAATTGTGCTAATATCAGATACGTAATGTGGGTTCCAGACTGATGAACTGTATTCGAGTATTGGTCTAGCAAATGTTTTGTATGCTCTGGTTAGTAGTGTGATATTACCAGAGAAAAAGCTACGTAGGATTAGGTTAACAACTCTTAATGCCTTTTTGGCTATGTAGTTGCAGTGGGCTCTAGCACTTAGATAATTAGAGGTGAGTATTCCAAGGTCCTTTACAGAGCTTGGGTCATCAACAAGATCTTGACTATTCAGCTTGTATTTTATTTTCTGATTTTTTTTTGCCAATATGTAAGACAGAGCATTTATTTGTTGAGATTTGAAGTTGCCATTTGTTTGACGATTCTGATACATAGTCAAGATCTTTTTGTAGGGTAGCAGTATTGTCTGTGGTATTGAACAGCTTTACATCATCAGCGAAAAGAACGCAATTGCTCTTAATATGATCACAGAGGTCATTTATGTAGAGTATGAAGAGTGTTGGTCCTAGAACACTGCCTTGGGGGACACCACTATTGACAGGTACAGAATTTGATAGGACGCTCCCAATTTTGACCATTTGTTGTCTGTTTGCCAGGAATGCTTCTATCCAGTTATTCAGTTGTCCAGAGATACCATAGGATTTTATTTTTAGGAGTAGTTTGTCGTGTACCACTGAATCAAAGGCTTTATTGCTTTGCCCTGGTCGAGTTGTGTCGTCCATATGCTTTTGCAGTGTAAGAGTTGCAGATTACAGGATAGTTTTTTTCTGAAACCAAATTGTTTATTGGAGAGTAGGTTGTTTGTCTCTAAATGGAGGATGATGGATTGGTTAATAATTGATTCCATGACTTTACAGGTGACGCAGCATAAGGAGATTGGTCTGTAATTTTCAACTAGGCTTGGGTCTCCCTTTTTGAAGATGGGGATGACTGTGGCTTGTGACCATAGGTTAGGTAAGGAGCTGGTCCTGAAAGATTTTTCAAAGATTATGCTTAGAGGTTTGGCTATGGCAGTGGATAGCTTTTTTAAGAAGTAGGCACATATTCCATCCGGTCCAATAGATAGAGATGGTTTTAGATTGCGTAGTGCTTTTTCAACATTGTCTTCTGTAAAATCGATATGTATTAGATCATTGTTGTTATCTGCTAGGAAATACTGGGCATGATCCATTGCTGTTTACAAATACTGAGCCGAAGAATGTGTTAAAGATGTTGGCTTTAATGGTGTCGTCGTTGCAGTCTTTACCATCA